AACCCAGAACTAAAACAATTCCTGAAGCCAACTCTTCAGACAAAGTTTAGACTGGACTATGGGACATAAAATGATACTTGTGAAGAGTGTGCGTCTTAGCTCAAGTAGATACAGGAGACTAAATGGGCAGCCCCTGCCCAGAGGTGAGATGAGAAGTCAGAAAAGGATAGGACCTCGCTGAATGAACATGGGAAATCTGGAGTGGAAAGGAGAAATGTGCTGTCACATTATAGGGATAACAACTAAGATCACGTAACAATGTGGGTATAAATTTTTGTATGAGAAACTAGCTTGAGCTGTAAACTTTCACTTAAATCACAATTAAAAAAAAAAAAGAAAGAAAACCCTATGGAGCACAGTTCTACTCTGAACAGTGGGGTCGCCATGAGTTGGAATGGACTTGATGGAACTGGTTTTGGTCTGGTAAAGGCCTACTAGCACTAAACTGAGACCTTCTCCTTGAGGGAAAGCAGAAGGATTGACAGAGCACTGCAAAAAGGAGTAAGTTTCTCCTTTTGGGATGGTAGGCCAGTTAATGTTTGTTAACACCTAGCCTTACTTAAAATTACACTTTGGGGGTTACCTAATTAGATGATTGTATCTAGGACTTGAAGGCTCTAGGCATTGTTACCACTGCCTGCTCCTTTTACTACTTGGAGCTCTTAAACCTAACCCTAACCCGTTGAGTCGATTCCAACTAATAGCAACCCTATAAGACCGAGTAGAACTGCCCCATAAGGTTTCCAAGGAGCGGCTGGTGGATTTGAACTGCCGACATTTTGGTTAAAAGCCATAGCTCTTAACCACTGTGCAACCAAGGCTCCTGTAGCTCTTTAGGGCCTTAAAAATGATTCAGAAGAAGGAAAAGACCAACAAGATGACAGCGACTTGGGAGATTCTATTATCGCTTTTACAGCCAAAGGACCGCGGGAGAAACAGACATTATCTGACCTTATTTTGTCTCCAGGGTGGCCTTTTTTTTTAAGTCAAGACACATGTTACATGAAACCCCTTTGCTCTGCAGGCTATTGCACAAACCCTCTTAATTTCAGCACTCCTCTCCCACCCCATTCACTCGGATTGTGGGAGTGGAGGTGGAGAGAACATCATTGAAAGAAGGAGTTTATTGGCCATGGTGCACCTGGTTGCAAGTGACAGAAGACCCATTCCTACAGGCTGGAGCCAAAAAGGGAATTGTTGGATCAAATAGTTTAGGTTTAGGGCTGAATTCAGGCACAGCTGGATCCAGGGGCTCCATTATGCCATCAGGAACATCTTTGGCTCTTTATCTCTCAGCTCTGCCCTCCTCTGGGTTGGCCTCACTCTCAGGCAGGCAGATGTGATGGCATTGGCAGTTCCAGGCTTACCTCCTTAGAGTGCCAAGTCTAGGGGAGTCAATGAGTCTCTCTTTCCAACAGCTCCAAACAAAGCCCTAGACCTGATTCTCATTGGTTCAGACTGGGTCCCATGCCCACCATTAAGCCAGTCACTGTCGCTAAGGGAGCTAATATGCTGAATGGCTTAGATGTGGGTCACAACCCCACTCCAACATGGACCAAGAATGGGAGTAGTGCAGTCTCTCCAAGAAAAATTGAGGTGTTGGTATTAGAGAAAGGGGGTGGATACTGGGCAGGCAAAACCCACAGACGTCCACTACAACAATCAATTTTATGTAGATCCTGAATAAGAGCCAGGGGGTAGGTTCAAACCTTGCAGATAGAAAGACAATGGAAAATTACAGATGTAACATTGTCTGACTCCAGATTTCCAGTTCTTGAGTGAGGAATCCAGAATATATCCCTACTTCCACTGAAGCCGTCGTAATGGACATCATAGATGGAGAAACTGAGGCCTAGAGAGGGGACAGCATCCCTGAGATGATCCCATGGGACTTGAATTAATCTCAATTCAACCCAGGTCTCCTGAATCCCAGTCCTGGCCTCTTTTCACTCTACCCTGCCATACCTCTTCTTCTTGTGAGAATGATGCCATTAATTACCTACCCATTTCCCAGATGAGGAAATTGAGGCACGGGGAGCTTAAATAACTTGCCCTACGTCAGACTACTAGGGAATGATAGCAAATGGGCAAGCTTTTCCTTAAATATTGTATTTTTAAATTTTTTGAAGAACTTTTTCTGTCCCCTTACACCTAGTCTTGCTCTTACACCACCCCCCCCAAAAAAAGAAAAGAAAAGCAAAAAGTTAGAGAAGGAAATTTGCCTATTCACATGAAAGATGGCTAAGTGAGTGGCAGTGATAAAATTTAAGTTTAGAAAAGGTTGGGGAGTTGGTCATTTGGTGAATTGTTTCCAATAGCGGGTGGAGTGTGGGTGAGGAAAGGCTTCTAGGATGAGGAGACTCAATTGAGTTTTGAAGGGTGGGCCGGGGGGCCATGAGGACCAAATGCTGCTGAAAGATTAAGTCATATTTGGACCAAATGAGACCTCTGGATACAGTAGCAAGGAGATCGTTGGTGACTTGGGCCACAAGGAGTAGTATGGTAATGGGGAAACCAGATTACAGTGGCTTAAAAAGTGACTAGGAGATGAGGAAGTGGAGACAATATGTCCGGACCACATGCTGGAAGGTTTTTGGCTGTGAAGAGAAAGAGAGAAAAATGGGAATAGCTCCAGATAGCAATGGATGGGAGTACATTGGCTATTTTGACCCCCCCCCCCCTTTAAGCAGTGTCCACCTGTTTGTTCCTTAATCGACACCTGTGTTTGTGTCATTTAGATCTGCGGTGTTCAAAGAGCTCTATGACCAAACCTCGGCTCATTCCCAGCGAGCTCTCTACTCTTGGATGACTGGGGTTTTGCAGACATCCTCCAAGGCCACCGGTGAGCCCGTGCTTCAAGATGGGATTACTCTTTGGGGAAGTCCATCCTCAAAAGAGGTGCTTCATCTCTGAAAACAGGGGTCTGATCTCTTTGTCGCTTATGATTTTTAGCCCCTACTTCCAAAAAGGGGTTGAGATGGCTTATGGAATAAACACATAACCCATTTTATCAACGCACTTTTCACATGCTGATGTCTCTGAAATAAGGATGCATCTGTATCTTGCAGTCAGTAGAGTGTCCTAGTTTCTTATTAGAACGTAGATAATGATGACATCCTAGATTCGATAAGAATCTTTAGAATAGGGTTACAAGTTCAACATCTGTATAAGTTAAGATGGGGCAAGATAATTTTATTAGAAAATTCATGCAATAAAGCACAAAGTTAGCTCTGAGCTTCTCGACACCCAAAGCAGAATTAGGTCAGGGTTAATGTATTTCACAGATGTTTATTAAAAACCTACTATGTGCCAACTACCGGTGGTGGTGCAATGGTTAAGCGCTTGGCTGCTAACATCCACCAGCCACTCCTTGGGAGAAAGATGCGGCAGTCTGCTTCCATAAAGATTGCAACCTTGAAAACCCTATGGGGCAGTTCTACTTTGTCCTATAGGGACACTGTGAGTTGGAATCAATTTGACAGCAATGAGTTGTTTTTTTTTTTTTAAAAACAGGACTAGAGATACAGAAAATAAGACAAAGAGCTGTTGTTTTATTATGAGAGGGTAGGTGGAGAAAGATTTCAAACAACACACACACACACACACACACACACACACAAAAGATAAATTAGACACTTGGGTGGTGCAAAGGCTTAATGCACTCAGCTGCTAACTGAAAGATTGGAGATCTGAGTCCACCCAAGGTATCTTGGAAGAAAGGCCTGGCAATCTGCTTCTGAAAAATAAGCCATTGAAAACCCCATGGAGCACAGTTCTACTCTGACACACATGGGGTTACCATGAGTCAGAAATGAGTCGATGGCAACTGAGAAAACTGGTAACTGCTAAGAAGAAAATAAAATGGGATAAATGTAACGAAAAGGGTTACCACTTTAAACTAGGAAAGGGTTTTCTGTAAAAGACCAGGTAAATATGTAGGCTTTGTGGGTGGCACAGTGATTAAGAGCTTGGCTGCTAATCAAAAGATCAGCAATTCAAATCCACCAGCCACTCCTTGGAAACCCTATGGGGCGGTTCTGCTCTGTCCTATAGGGTCACTATGAGTCGAATCGACTCCATGGCAATGGGTTTGGTTTTTTTTGGTTTTCACTTTACAGTCTCTGTTGTAACTATTCAGCGATGCCACTGTAATATGGAAACAACCATAGACAATAGATGAGTAGGCATAGCTGTGTTCCCATAAAACTTTATTTATGAACGCTGAAATTTGAATTTCATATAATAATTTTCATGTCACAAAATATTATTCTTTTGATTTTCCCTTCAACCATTAAAAAATATGTTAGGGATTGAATTGTGTCTCCTAAAAATGTGTGCTATAAATCCTAACTCCTATAGTGGTTATAATCCTATTTGGGCAGGGATGGATTACCCAATGAGCAAGGTATGCACGGGCTTACTTGTGTTTACTTACTCATCTACGGTACACAATCTCACCAGTTTTTTGCCACATCAAAGTACCCTGCATACCGTGCTTACTGGTTAATGCGCCCCAGCATTTGGGAATGGGTTTTCTTTGTCATGTTAAAGAGACAGTATTAGTGTAGGGTGCGTCTTAAATCAGTCTCTTTTGAGATACACAGTAAAACCAAAAGCAAACCCATTGCCGTGGAGTCGATTCAGACTCACAGCGACCCCATAGGACAGAGGAGAACTGCTCCATAGGGTTTCCAAGGAGTGCCTGGTGGATTCGAACTGCCGACGTTTTGGTTGGCTGCGGTAGCTCTTAACCACTATTCCACCAGGGTTTCCAGATACACAGTAGTCCTCCTTCTCCGTGCTGGATATGTTCCAAGACCTCCAGTGGATGCCTGAAACTGCAGATAGTTCTGAACCCTATATACGTACTATGTTTTTTTCCGATACATACATACCTATGATAAAGTTTACTTCATAAATTAGACACAGTAAGAGATTAACAACAATAACTAATAATAAAATAGAACAGTTATTAAGTAAAATAAGGGTTACTTGAAGACAAGCACTGTGATACCGAGACAGTCGATTTGATAACCGAGACGGCTGCTAAGTGACTAATGGGCAGGTGGTGTATACACTGTGGATACACTGGACTAAGGGATGATTCGCATCCCGGGTGGGACCGAGTGGGAAGGTGCGAGATTCCTCATGCTACTCAGAATGGTGCGTGATTTAAAACTTATGATTTATTTGTTTCTGGAATTTTCCATTTAATATTTTCAGACCATGGTAACTGAAACCGTAGAAAGCGGAACCACAGATAAGGGGGGGACTACTGTATAAAGGGGATCCTTGGTGGCACCGTGGTTAAGAGCTCAGCTGCTAACCAAAAGGTTGGCAGTTTGAATCCACCAGCTGCTTCTTGGAAACCCCATGGGGCAGTTCTACTCTGTCCTATAAGGTCGCTAAGAGTCAGAATTGACTCAATGGCAACGGGTTACTGCATAAAGGAGCAGATTAAGCAAGCAAGCAAGTAAGCGCAAATGGAGGGGAAGATACGTGCCACATGATCACCAAGGAACCTAGTAATAGAAACTGAAAAGAGACAGGGACCTTTCCCCAGAGCAGACTGAGAGAGCCCTCCCCTAGAGCCGGTGCTCTAAATTCGGACTTCTAGCCTCCTAAAATGTAAGAAAATAAATTTTTGTTCGTTAAATCTGCCCACTTGTGGTATTTCTGTTACAGCAGCACTAGAGAACTAAGACAAAATATAAAAACCATTCTTAGCTTGCAGGCTGTACAAAAATAGGTGGCGGGCCAGGTTTGGCCAATGGGCGGTAGTTTGCTGAGCCCTGGACGAAGGAATCAGGGAAGACCTCCCTGAGGAGGTGACATTTGAAGTGAGACCCCAATTCAGGCTCCGTGTGAGGCTCTGGAGGAAAGACTTTCCAGGCAGAGGACCAGCAAGTGCAAAGACTTTGAGGTAGGAATGAGGTAGGAACGTGTTGGGGAAACGTAAAGGAAGCCAGAGTGTTGGAGTGTAAGAAGTGCCAGTCAGTCCTTTTCCTAGAATTAAGCTCTGAAATCTGTACATCAGGAATGTTCAACAACATAATAATCAATATCTTAAACACATAGCAGAACTCTCTCTGCCTGGTGCGTAATTATGGCCCCCCAGAATCTGCCTGAGTTTCACACTGTGTCACCCTGAGGTGGTTTCTCAACCTTTCTACACTTGCCTGAGTCCTTATTGCCGGAGTTCAGTTACGGGCCTTTCCTTCTCAGATTCCTATGTGACATGTTTCATTCTTAGACTAAAGTTAAGTAAATGTTTTTTCATGAAATTTCTTATGGTAGCTCGAGATACTTTGGATGTTGACAATATCCCAAGTTAGGGGGTTATTGGTCTGCAGAAATACAGTTCTGCTTAATACTTAATTAAAAATGAGCAACTCAGTTTGGTTCTTGGTGAATTTAGTGGTTCAGATCTGAGCTAGTAACTGCATGTATCATCCAATGTCTGCTCTCTGAGTCCCCCCACCTGCCCCCTAAACCTGTTGAACTTGTTTCCTATTGTAGCTGTTGGAACAAATTTCCACCAACTTGGGGGCTTAAAACCACAGAAATTTATTCTCTCACAGTTCTGGAGGCTAACCATACTACTGAGCAAAAAGCTTCAGGTGGCAAGTATCTGTGATTGCCTACATGTAACGTAGTGTCTCGCAGGTAGGAGGCGCTCAACAAATGGTTGTTGAATGAATTAAATTTTTTTTTTTTTACCTTCCAAATAGAATTAACTTCAGTCTAAGAATGAAATGTGTCACATAGGAATCTGAGAAGTCTGAAATAAGTATCACTGAGCTGAAATGAAGGTGTTGGCAGGGCTGCACTCTTTCCAGAGGCTTTAGGGAAGGATCCGCTCTGTCTCTCTTCCGGATGCTGGCGATTGCCGGCATTTCTTGGCTTGTGGCTGCATCACTTCCAGTCTCTGCGTCTGTGGTCACATTGCCTTCTCCTCTTCTGTCTGTAGTCAAATGTCTCCCTCTGCCTCCCCCTTATGAAGATATGGAGAAGAGAATACTTGGGGTACATATGGAAAATGATGAGTAGTTCTGTTTGGCTCAAGTAGAGTAAGATGGTGATAATTAATAAGGATGACAATGATTATTATGGATAGTAATAAAAGAGAGTCAAACATATTTCGAGTTGCCAGGTTATTGTTTAGGAACGAGTTGAACTAAAAAATAAAACTCTTTTTTGTGGTCCCAAGTAGTAAAAATAAATACGCATTTCTAAACAACTTCCTAAGGGATGATGATGTTGCTGATCCACGGACCACACTATTGAGCGAAAAACTTCAGGTGGCGGGTATCTGTGATTGTCTACGTGTGACATAGTGTCTCAAAGGTAGGAAGTGCTCAGTAAATGGTTGTTGAATGAATTAATGAATACAAGAAGGAGGTCCAGATATCAAAGATGCTTGTGACTATCACATGCCAGTGGAAAGGCTTTTAAACTTTTATTTGTTATTTTTTTGTAGGTGACTCTGTTTCCTGGGTCAGTGCAGAAAGCTTATGGATTTTGGGCAGATACATGGTTCACCTTTCGTTCGAAGAAATTTCGAAAATTAGTCCTATAGAAGTAAGTTGGAAAAGTACAGTAATATATCCCTGTTACTAATAGGGTAACCTCTAATGTTCAGCCTACCAGTCAAGGTGCCCTGGAAATTATACACCTGCCTCAGCCTAATATATCTTGAGCTTCTAAAGAAAACTCTTGGAACAAAGCCTCAAGTGATCAGTCATAGGATTGTGTGCTGGTATAGAACAGCTAAGAAAAGAAAAAGAATTGTGAACAACTAAGATAGTTCTGATGTGAACAAACATGATGGCTAGGCATCAGAAATCATTTAAAGGTGTACCCAAGAAAGGCCAAGGACAATAGCTATAGAGTTTCTGGTCCTTGGAAGCAAGAACCCAAAGCAAAAGCAACACAGATTAATAGCTACTTCTATTTATAGCTGCTTCTATTAATAGCTACTACCACATGAGCAATGACTGCTTTTTAACACTGAAGTTCACAGTGGAGAAATATAGGTACATGTTCTAAGGTTACTTAGCTTATCGGTCAGCCTTTCTCTCTCCTTCTCCTGATGTTGACTCAATGACACTAAAATCCCTTGGACATCATGGTTCTGGAATGCAGCCTCCAAAGAACGTTGCCAATAGGGAGGCATTCATAAAGAGTTTGGGACTTGCCTATAAGTTTTTCTCATGTATGCCTTGACTTTTCTCCTGGCCAGTGGGAGAAGGGTTTGCATCAAATGATTGACTTGTTCAAGCAACAACCAGTTGATGCAACAATGTTGGTTATCATGAAACCAGAGGCGGAACTAGCTTTCTCTCGTTTACCTAGGAGGCTGGGATCATTTCAGATGTTTTCTAAATTTTAAAACCCTCAGTTCTAGGATTAAACTCCCATTTGACTCTCCCAATATTGAATGATTTTCAGGAAGTAGATAGAGGTACATTCTTAGGAAGCTGGGCCCCCTGAGAGGACGTTCTAAGATCAAGAGGCCACTTGCAACTTTTCATCCTCATCTAAAAATGTAAATGAGGGAGATGAAGTCACAGAGTGCCAACACTAGGAGTACAATCTACAGGGAGAGACAACTTTAGGAACCCCTGAAGCACAGAATCACAATGCATCAAAATATACAATGCAAAATCCGTTAGAAGTACAAGGAAAAATGGACATGAACCCTGTATAGTAGCAGAGAACTTCCACTTCAATATAGAAAATCTGAAGAATATATTTAATAAAGTTGATTATATATTGGTATGTATCTGTACACACACACACATAGATACAAAGCTTTGTATCTTACAAAGAGAACACATTCTTTTCCATCACCTGAGGGCCATTTATAAACTCGTTCATCCGTTAAAAAAAATCTGATTCCCCAAAGCAGAAATTTTGTGGACAACAATCTCTGACATCAATATAACAAATCCAGAAATAAATGTGCAAATATTAGCTTAAAAAAGTTCAACTGCTTGGATATTAAAAAAAAAAAGCTTTCCTAATAACAGTGGGGTTGAAGAGGAAACCATAATAGCAGTTACAAGCCATTAAGAAATCAAGGACAATGAGAACCGGGGTTACCTAAGTATCTGGGATGGGGTACAACACAGAGCACTAGGGTGGGGCCACACGGGGCCACGCCAGCCCTCCTCACTGGTCTTCTCATCCTTGTCCACCAGATTGGGCTGTTTATCAGCTACGACAATGCCACCAAGCAGTTGGACACAGTTTATGACATCACCCCCGAGCTGGCCCACGCATTTCTGGAAAGAATCAGCTCCTCCAATTTTGACATGAGGAACACCTCTACCATCCACAGGCAAGGGGCATGGGCTCTGGGCCCTCCAAGGTGTTTCCCCAGATGAGATCGAATCACCAGCTTCCTCTGAGCAGCAGAAGACCCCGGAAAGGGAGGGAGGTGGCTGGTCTATCTCTTTGAACTTTCACACATCTCTCTCTGCATGTGATGGGAAGTGTCTCCCCAAGGAGCATCACTATTTGCAGGGATTATGAAGGCGGGAAAGAAATCAAGACTTGCTGAGTATCTCCTGTGTGCCAGGCATCTTATACAACCTAATCAAGTGCCCCAAACATGGGAACAGAACATTTTAAATATCTGGTACTTGCTCCATACCAGGGCTAATTTTTTTTTGTACTTTATTATTTTATTTAGCTTTTAAAAATAATTTATTTTATTTATTTTTGTTGTTGTTGAAAATATACCCAACAGAACATACACCAATTCAACAATTTCTACTTGCACAGTTCAGTGACATTGATTACACTCTTCAAGTTGTGCAACCATTCTCACCCTTCTGTTCCGAATTGTTCTTCCTCCATTAACATAAACCCGGTGTCCAGGGCAAATGTTTATTTCCATTACATTGAGTCAAGTTTCCATAACTGTGCCAACAATCTCTTCAAGGCAATCCAGGTTCTTACTATCAAGGGCATCAAAATTCCTCTAGCCTCTACCCATTACTCAGTTCCAAAGCCACTTCCACATTTTAGGTATTTGTTAGAACAGCACCCCCGCTTTCTGGTACCAAATAGCTTATGGCCCCCAAATCTGTGAACTTAGACAGGGAGTTCCTCAGACGGGGTCAGGCCCTCAGATGAGGAGCCCAGAGACGGGATCAGCTCTAGAGTTTAGAGACTGTAACATGATCCCTGGAAGCCATTTCTAGCAAAGGAGGACCAGGAGCTGTGCACCTGGTGACCCCAGAAAATAGTTGACTCTGTGGACGTCACCCTTTGCTGTCGAGTCCATTCCGACTCATAGTGCCCTGTTTCTAGGGGGCAGCTGGTGGATTCGAACTGCCGACCTTTTGGTTAGCAGCTGAACGCTTAACCACTGCACCACCAGGGTTCCGTGGATGGCAAGCAGGGTTTTAATGTCAGGGGTGGGGATGTGTGATGGAGAGGGATGGCGGGCACTGTTCAACCATCTTCTGTCCAACTCTCACATCAACTTACTGTCACAGTGCTTCCTCTGACATCACCATATTACCTTAAATTTTTTCAATGGGCCACTTTCAGGGAACGTACTCATATGAAACTATTACACCTTCTTTCCCCATCTCTTGTAATTTTCATCCATTAATATTGGTCGCATTTTTCCATCGTTACAAAAAAACAAAAAATCACCAAGTGGTTAGGAACACGGGCTTGGAGTCACACTTCCTGGGTTTAATTGTGTGATCTTGTGCCTCCATTTTCCCACCTACAAAATGGGAGAGAATAATCTGCCTGTCTGTCTTGTTAAGGACCTGGCACACAGTACGCGCACAAGAAATACTAATTATTCTTAACGTAGTTATTGATACTCAGTCTTCACTTCCCCTGAGTCTTCTCAGGGTCAGACGTACTCCTTTTTCTTATCAGACACACTTTCAAATCCTTTCCCTGGCCTTGTTGCTGCCCTGTGGACATGTCTGAACATGTCAATGTCGTTCTGAGAAGGTTGAGCCAGGTCTGAACCATGTGGTCCAGTGATGCTGGGTCAAGTCAAGTTCATATTAACTCTAAGAGCCTCCATCCATGAATGAGTGCTTAGTATCCATCAGGCATTACGCTGGTCAATTGGTGAGCCTCTTCTTAACATAATCCTCATTCCTTCATTCATCATATTACGATGTACTATGATGAACAAAGCAACCTCCCTTTTATGAAAGGCTCAGAGAGGCAGGGCCACCCTGTACAGTAGTACGGGGTGTACACGGCACAACTGTGTGTGACAACCTTGCAGGAAAGTTAGGTAACTTGCTGGAGGTCAGACATCTCATAGAAGTGGGCTTCAGCCTCCAGGCAACCTAAATCGTGCTCTTAAACACTAGGTACCTTGCTTGCACTAGACCAGGGTTCAGGTCCCATCTCTGCCTCTACACTGTTTTGCCTCCTGTCTTTTCTTGTCTTTGTATTTCCTTCTGAAGGCTTTGCATCATCTGGGAGGGTAGGTAGTAAAGGCATGCTAGAAATAAATCTCTGTTTCAGAGAAACCCTCAGGGTAGAAAAACTCATTACCTGTAAAAGGGATATTTTCCGTGGCTAACTCAGCACCGTTCTTTCCTTCTGCCCTTTACCGTCCCAGGAGGACAGACAGATAGATAATTGGATGGATCTAGATTTAAGGCACAGATCCATGACTTGCCTTGCACAAGTCACTTGATCTCTCTGAGTCTTAGTTTGCCCTTCTGTAGAATGGGGCTAATGAGAGCCCCTACCTGGTAGGGTTGTTTTGATGAGATTACCTAGATAAAGGGTTCAGCAAATGGTAGTCGCAATGGTCATGATCCTCATTGGCTCTGACTTGGGGGTTGGAGTGTAGTTGTGACCCCCAACTCTGAGCCCTCCGCCAGCATCCCTTGTCTTCTCGCACAGGTTGGGGCTGCTGGTTTGTTTCTACGATGACCTGGAGTTTCTGGATGCTGCTGTGGCCCAAGTCCTCCTTCACCAGATGATCAAGTGCAGCCACCTGAGGGGCTTCCAGGCCAGCATTCAGAAGGTGCAGATGGGCTGCATGGCCCTGGGACCTCTGCCTCGGTTCTACTAGCCAGAGAAATGGGGACAGCAGCCTTGTCTGGTCTTTGAGAGAAAATGCATAATCAGGTCTAGGTCCATCTGCAAGCAGGTGGTTATCTCAAATACTGGGATGAGCTTAAAATGAGAGAAATAAGCAAAAAAGAAAAAAAAAAGCATAGGGAAAAAACTTGCATAGATAAAAAAATTCAGCCAGAGCAGCTGTCTCAGTGCTAATGTGCATTAGGATCACCCGGAATCTTAAGAGCAGATGCTGATCGGCAGCTCTGCACTTCCAACAAGCTTCCGGGTGATGGGGAATCTGCTGGTCCAGCAGTCCTGCTTTGAACGTCAAGGAGGTAAAGCAGTGGTTCTCAACCCTGGATATGCAGTGAAGCCTGTGGGAGTGGAACTCGACAGGACTGCCTTGTTTTTCTGGGTCTCGCAAGTTCTCCACCGTTGACAGGGTGCAGTCACCACTCTTCTATCGCTCTCTATTTAGTGGAAAATATTTGCATTTTCCTTCTCTGACAGGTTTCCGTCTTACACAGGTTCTGGCTTTTGTAGGTTTTTCTGTACATAAGTCATCCCCACGCCCAGGCTCCACCCCCAGAGAGTCTGATGTTATTGGTGCTGGATATGGCCTGGGTATGGAATCCTGAGTAGTGTGAAAGGCTAACATGCTCAGCTGTTAATGGAAAGGTGGGTGGTTCAAGTCCATCCAGAGGCACCTGAGAAGAAAGGCCTGGTGACCTACTTTCAAAAAATCAGCCATTGAAAATCCTGTGGAGCATAGTTCTGCTCTGGCACACATAGGGTCACCATGAGTCAGTACGGACTCAAGGGAAACTGGTTTTTGGTGGCCTGGGTATGGTATGTTTTAAAAGCTCCGCAGGTGATTCCAGTACAGCCAAGGTTGAGAACGCCGGATCAAAGGTTAGTTATTGAGTTCCTAGAGCTGGGTTCTAGACAAATCGCCACATGCAGACTGCCTCTCATTTTCCCTCCCCCGACCCCATCTCTCTCTTTTCCCTTCAAATACCTGCAGTGCCACCCATGGTGGGCAAGATTCAGCACAGCTTCCAGACTAAGACTAGGAAGAAAGGCCTGGTGATCTACTTCCCAAAATTAGCCAATGAAAACCCTATGGATCACCTGGAGGGCTTGTTAAAACCCAGGTTACTGGGCTCCTCTGCCTGTCTGGAGTGGGGCCCGAGAATCTGCATTTCTAACAAGTTCCCAGGTGCTGCTGATGCCACTGGCCTGAGGACAACACTTTGTGAACCACTGCTCTAGTCCACCCCTTTGTTTTACAGATGTGGAAACAGATCTAGGGAAGTGAAGCTGCTGAATTTAGAGAATAAGACAGGTGCTGTGAGTTTTCTTCTACTTCTCTCTGCTGCCTCCCTGTGGCCATTTCAATATTGCCTGGAACAGTTGTGTGCACATGTCTGAATACATTGTGTATGACTCATGTAAATTCAGCTGTTGAAATATGTACCATTCTTGTTTTTTGTGCAGAGTTCATGTTATAATAGACAAGTTTATAAACTTCTCTACTGGAAGCAGTTGGAAATACACTTGACTAGGCAGGTTTATTATATAAAATAATTATTAAGATGGTCAGAGAAACATGTAAACATGTACACCAAGCCAAAAACCCGTTGCTGTTGAGTAGATTCTGACTCATAGCTACCCTATAGGATAGAGTAGAACTGCGCCATAGGGTTCCCAAGGGAGCAGCTGGTGGATTCGAACGGCTGACCTTTCGGTTAGCAGCTGAGCTCTTAACCACTGTGCCACCAGGTCTCCAAAACATGTACAAGACATAATTTCAAGTGAAAAACATAGAACAGAAAACTGCACTTCTATTCATTTTACCACAAGGTAAAAATTATATGTTCTGTCTATTTATATAGGCATAAAAATTCTTGCTAATCATAGTTATGAGGTAGGATTTTCAGGAGACTTACTTTCTTGTACTGTTGAGAAGGATTTTTACACAGATTATATACTATCATGAAAGAAACACCACCGGATATTTCCTGAAAGAGAAACAACCACATATACGGATATAAAGTTCAAGGTCACAAAAGGAAAATAGAGAGTGTGGTGGAGTTAAGCTGGAAGAGAACAAAATTTCCTTCTGTTATGCTTTAAAGTTGATTTACTAAGAAATTAACATTTAAATGAAGCACAAAGTGCATTTGCGGCGCAAGAAAGCCCAGGCCAGAGAAAGCGTTTTCGAGGGTGGCTCGGGGTCTGATGTGGCGGGAGTCTGTGTTCCTTCTTTTCTCCAGGCCCAGAGCCTTGGAGGGGGCAGGCTTGGGGGAGGGTGTTGTAGAGTCCTGACACCCCAGGATGGAGTCGGGGGGACTGTTATCCTATTTTACAGACAGGAAAAGTGAGGCAAAGAGAAGGTAAGCAAATTTCTACTTGGTTTCTGTCCACCCTCATTCTCAGCTTGCTCCTCTTCCAGCTCAAAGCCAACCTCCTGGACATTGCCACTGAGAACCAGACCCTCAATGAGACGCTGGGCTGTTTGTCAGATGCGGTTGTGGGGTTGACCTACAGTCAGCTGGAATCCCTCTCTCCTGAGGCTGTGCACAACGCCATCTCCACCCTCAACCAGGTCTCAGGCTGGGCCAAGAGCCAGGTTATCATCTTGTCTGCGAAGTACTTGGCCCATGAGAAGGTCAGTTGGAGCTGTGAACACTTCTTTTTTTTTTTAAGAACTAAATAGAGAATTTATTGTGGGCGCCTTTCCATTAGCTTACATAGGGAACCTCTGGTTTCCAAATATGACACAGAAAAACCAAAACAAACTCATCAGGGCTCCCTAGCTATCACACAGGAAAGCCATAATTATGCTTGCAAGCCTTATCTCACAGAAATAAAGGGGAAAAAGACAGAAGTTTACAAAACTAACATATTCAGGAAGCATAACCTAATAGAATGCTCAGCCTACACAACAGTGAGGCTGCAGTTCCAGACTGCTGAGCTTCGTGCATTTGTGAACTCTTCTTTAGCGCCCTGAGATCCAAGGCCCAGCTGTACCCACACAGCAGGGGCAACCAGGATCGTGATGAGACTACCTGGGTCTGACTCCTCACTTTGCCATTTATAGCTATGTGTCATTGGCAAATTTGCTTTCTTTCTCTTTGCCTCACTTTTCCTGTCTGTAAAATGGGATAACAGTAGCACCTACCCCATAGGGCTGCTGCAAGGATTAGGTGAGTTAGTACACATAAAGAGATTGCGACAGTGTGGGTCGTAGAGAATGAACTCAGTAGGTGTTAGCCGTCACTGAGCCGTTGATCAATATGTGAGATCCATCCTAGGATTTTCTTGCTTGTTGAAGCTGTGAACACATCTCTCATCCGGAGATCAGAGTCTTGGGCTATAGGGAAGGCGCTGTCACTACAGAAGGTCCTGTTTGGAGGGGACACGAACCTTAGTCCATGCTCTAGCTGCTCCTCTGGGTAGGAAATGGGTCTTCCTACTGGGGAATTAGTCTCTTTGTGCCACACTCAGTTGAAAGGGCTCCAGGCCCCTGAGATGTGAAGCCCAAACATCTTGGTGTTCTGCCCTTTCAGTTCACACTCATAGCTGCTTCTCAGGATGGGAACTGGCTCATGAGGATTGGATTGGGACCATGTCCAACATGACACTGATGTTGTTGTTGTTGTTGGGTGCCATCAAGTAGCTTTCGACTCATGGCAACCCCATGCGACAGAGTAGAACTGCTCCATAGGGTTTTCTTGGCTGTCATCTTTTTGTTTTTTTTTTAACTAGAAAGGGGAAAAAAATCAGATTTAATTTAAAGAAAAAAAATCCGGAATTATCTGCAAAAAGAGTTCTGCATTTCCATGATTACATTTATTGGAAGAGTTGTAGAAAAATAAAAATGCCATTCAGGTTAAGAACTTGCCAGTTACGTGCAAATCATTTCGGGAGTGGAAGAATCCCTGGCCATTTCTGAATACCAAAAATTTACACAGGTTTCTCTTTTGAATATATTCTACATTAAAGAGGCGATGGTACAATGTCTCCTTTTTTCTGCACAGGATAATTTCTTTGTTCCAGCCAACTCTTAATTGAGGGGTAAATAGTACAACATCATCTCCCCAAACAAAGAGCATTGGAATATTTCATTTCTTTTTATTATCACTTCATATGTTTCTTCATCCATTTCTGTAGTAGTCACAGTTTCTTCCACATCTCCCAATATCCTATTTAAATGTTGATCATAAGCACTTAATCTTTCTCGAAACTCTCGGTCGTTTTGCATTTTCACATAAATGGGCTCATCCAGGCTGAGCCTGATGAGATCCAGGGGCTCCTCTACTGTGTTGGTAGTTTGTTGCTGGTCTACGTTGTCCACCATGTTTCAAACCCCTTGGCTGTAATCTTCATGGAAGCAGATCGCCAAGTCTTTCTCTTGCAGAGCTGCTGGGTGGGTTCAAACTGCCAAACTTTCAGTTAGCAGCCGAGAGCTTAGCTCTTACTGTGCGCCAGATTCCGGTCTAAGAGCTTTCGCCATTTATTATTCTCAACAAACCTGTGAGATCAGTACTGTAATAATCTTCATTTTCCTGTTCGTTCACATGAGGCACAGAGTGTGGAAGGGAATTGCCAAGGCCACGTCAAGGATTACAGGTGGGATTGAATTTAGGCCGTCTGACTTCAGAACTGCCTTGCTTAACTACCCTGCTACACTCTCTCCATCGTGACCACAGTTCACCCTTCTCACTTTCTGACTCAGGGCCAAGGCTAGCCACTGAGCTTGTCCTGTCTAGCCTCATAAAAACCAACCAAACCAAACCTGTTGCTGTCAAGTCGGCTCCAACTCATAGCGACCCTATGGGACAGAGTAGGATTGCCCCATAGCGTTTCCAAGTTGTGGTGGGTGGATTGGAACTGCTGACCTTTTGGTTAGCAGCCCTAGCTCTTAACTAATGCACCTCCAGGGCTCCCCTAACCTCATAGTGAATTTATTTTGAAGGCTTTGTGGCCCTTCACTGTTTTTGGATTTTGATAGGGGCCACCTTGTTCTACCTTGACAAATCTCTGTGAATTTGATTCTGGGGAGCTGAGGGAGACTGGTTCCTTCCTTCCCAGAAGACCCTGGACAAAGTGGTTTGCCTCTTCCTGAGATCCAACTCTTCCTACTAAGGGGAGGCAACTTATACTAAGAAGCCAAGAGCCCGAAATGTCTTGCCTTCTTTGGGGACAGTAAGAGACTGTCCATTCTACAGGGAATAACTAAAGGAAACCACTCAAATGTCTTTTTGTAGAACCAAGGCATGTCCCTCATTATATGGAAAACCATCAAGCATCTTCACTCTAAAGGAGGAAGAACAACCAAGTACAATCCCTGATAGGGCTCCCAGCTACAATCATATTTGTTATGAAAAATCAGATTTGTATCCCAAAACATTTCAACTCAAAGCTTTTACGTGGAGATAGATGAGGGTGGGGGCTCTGCTATGTCATATGCATGGCAGGTGACATAAACGAGAAGAGTGGGCTGTCTCAAGGCTCTGAAGAAGGGTAGGTGGTAGGTAAACTGAGAACCCGTGATCCATCTAAAGGAGTGGTTTCTGCTAAAAAAAACCTGAAAACCAAGCCACTTGTCACTGGGTCAATTCTGACTCATGGCAACCTCATGCTGTCAGAGTAGACCTTCACTCATAGGGGTTTCAATGGCTGTGACCTTTCAGAAGCAGAACACTAGCCTTTTTTCCAAGGCACCTCTGGGTGGATTCAAACCACCAACCTTTCAGTTACCAGCTGAGTGCTTAACCATTGCACTATCCAGGGACTCCTTAAAAAAAATCAAAACCCAAACCTGTTGCTGTCAAGTTGATTCTGACTCACAGGGACCCTATAGGACAGAGTAGAACTGCCCTATAGAGTTTCCAAGGCTGTAATCTTTATAGAAGCAGACTGCCATATCTTTCTCCCTCAGAGTGGCTCATGGGTTTGAACTGCTGAGCTTCTGGTTAGCAGCTGAGTGCTTAACCACTGCTCCACAGGGCTCCTTAGAGACTCCTTGTTGTTGTGTTGTTAGGTGTTCTTGAGTCGGTTTCAGCTCATAGCGACCATATGAACAACAGAACAAAACACTGCCCGGTCCTACGCCATCCTCACGGTTGTTGTTATGCTTCAGCCCATGGTTGCAGCCACTGTGTCAATCCATCTCTTTTAGGGTCTTCCTCTTTTTCACTGACCTTCTGCTCTACCAAGCATAATGTCCTTCTCCAGGGACTGGTCCCTTCTGATAACATGTCCAAAGTATGTGAGATGAAGTCTTGCCATCCTCCTTTCTAAGGAACATACTGACTGTACTTCTTCCAAGACAGATTTGTTCATTCTTCTGGCAGTTCATGGTGTATTCAGTGTTCTTCACCAACACCATAATTCAAAGGCATTGATTCTTCTTCAGCCGTCCTTATTCATTGTCAGGGTTTCACATACATATGAGTTGATGGAAAATACCATGGCTTGGGTCAGACTCACCTTAGTCCTCAAGGTGATGTCTTTGCTTTTCAACACTTTGAAGAGGTCTTTTGCTGCAGATTTGCCGAGTGCAATATGTCATTTGATTTCTTGACTGCTGCTTCCATGGGCGTTGATTGTGGATTCAAGTAAAACGAAATCCTTGACAACTTCAATCTTTTTTCCATTTATCATGATGTTATTATTGGTCCAGTTGTGAGGATCTTTGTTTTCTTTATGATGAGGTGTAATCCATTCTGAAGGCTGTGGTCTTTGATCTTTATCAGTAAGTGCTTCATTAATAAGTGCTCATTGGCTCTTGCCAATTACTAGCAGGTGGCAATGTGGACCCAGTGTTGCCTGATCTTCAGATTTTTTAAAAAGAGAATCTTAAATATGGATTTTTATGAGAAATACTCCATTTTTTTGTTTTTCTTTATTGTGGTAAAAAATACATATATAACAAACATTTGCCAGTTCAACATTTTTTTACATGTACAGTCCAGTGGCACTGGTTATGTTCACTGTGTTGAGCAACCATCACCACTATTGGCTTCCAAATTATCCACCACCATTAACAGAAACTCGTGCCCCTCAAGCAATGACTCTCCCTTTCCACCTTCCTCCCACCCTTGGTAACCACCAATAAACTTTGGTCTCTTTATTTGCTTATTTTGTATAAGTGGGATTATGCAATATTTGTCCTTTTGTGGTTGGCTTATTTTCCTGAGGAGAATGTTTTCAAGGTTCATCCACGTCATAGAATATATCAGAACTTCATTTCTCTTTATTCCATTGTATGTATATGCCATGTTTTGTTTATCCATTCATCTGTTGATGGCATTTAGGTTGTTTCTGGGAAATCCCCCAATTTTTAAATATTAGGAATTAGTTCAACTTAAATACAAAAAACCCCACATCTCCTGGCCAGATGTGTCACTGACTTTTTTTTTTTAAAGGCTTTTTTTTTTCTATTGTGGTGAAAATATACACAACAAACATTTGCCAGTAATTTCTGTATGTACAATCCAGTGACACTGATTGCATTCTTCATCTCTGTCCTTTTCCAAATTATTCCACAAGCATTGACATAAACTCAATACCTTCCAGACAAAAGCTTCCCCTTTCCCCCTCTTTCCCACCCCTTGTAACCACTGATAATTTTTGGTTTCTATATATTTGCTTATTTCATGTAAGTGAGATCATGCGGTATTTGTCTTTTTGTGGCTGACTTGTTTTCCTCAGCCTGATGTTTTGAAGGTTCATCCCTGTTGTGGCAGGCATCAGGACTTCATTTCTCCTTCTGGCTGAGTAGTATTCAGTTGTGTGTATCTACCACGTTTTGTCTATCTGTTCACCTGTTGATGGACATTTAGGTTGTTTCCACTTTTTGGCTATTGTGAAAAGTGCTACGATAGACACTGGTGTACAGGTTTCTGTTTGCGTTCCTGCCTTCACTTCTTGCGGGTATAGAGCCAGAATTGGGATTGCTGGGTCATGTGGCAGTTCTATGTCCAACTGTTTAGGGATTGCCAAACTGGTGTCACCACTTTTTGATTTGGGTGCCATCGCCTGGGATGGCATAGTAACCCCCCAGCAGAGCCTTTATCCCACTTCTCATTTTTTGATATTTAACTCTCTTTCCTGGTAGAAGGAAGGAAGGTCTGTGAGGGCAGCACCTGTCTCGCTCACCTTTGTGCCCCCAGTGCCCAGCCTGCTCGATACCTGGCAGGCATTGGGCTTAACAAAGGTCTGAGAGGGGAAAGGCCTCACCCTCACGCTGGTCCTCTCCCAGATGCTATCCTTCTACAACGTCAGCCAGATGGGTGTGCTACTGGCTGGGGTCGGCACCCAGGCCTTGTACAGCATGGACCGCAAGGACCTCGTGCAGGTCCTGAGAAGTACCGTCTCCCAGCACCTGCCCGATCTGTCGCCTGCCCAGCAGCAGGGAGTCCTTAGCAAGGTGAGAAGAAGACTTCTGGTGCTCAGGCACGTGGCTCCCCGAGGTCGTGGTTTGGGGGGTTTTGTGAGTGGGCTGTGACTTTAGGCCATTAAGTCCGGACTGGGTTTATCTCAGCCTTCAGCGTGTGGGGTTGCTCTGAACCTGCAGATTGTCATCTCCTGCTGGTCCCCTTCCCGCCTTCCCAGAAAGAGCCCCTCTGGCCAGATCAAATTTTCCCAGACCCCATCCCTCTCCCGAGCCAGGCTAATCTTGTATAAAATCAGATTTCTTGATTGAATAATATCTAAAAATTTTGGTGTTCCAATCAGAAAATGAATCTGGAAGTTCTCAGAGTGCTTCTGCAAGCTCCTTCCATGGTGCAGAGTCACACGGACGTCCCTCTTTCTCACTTGGCAATGGGTCTCTGAGCCATCCTACTCTAAAAGACCTGTTATGTTCAATTGCAAAATCTGCTAAGAAGCCAAACCTAGGGGTTTGGCCGAAACTACCAACAACTCGCAGATAGCAGTAGCACATACAGTTACGATAACAGTTTGGGTTTGGGAATCAGACAGGCTTGGGTTTGAATCTCACCGGCTTTCAACCCATTACTCTTTAAGCCTCAGTTTCTTTATCTGTAAAATGGGGATAACTATAGCCCGTCTGTCATAGAGTTGCTGAGTGAATCTGATGGATTTTGTTTTTGTTGCCTGGGAAGCGCTGGACATAGACCTTGGCTCTTACCCAAAGCTCGAGGCACAATTTACATGGTTTTTATTATGTTTCTTCTCATTTTGGCAGCTGACCGAAGCAGGAGACACTGCCTCAGCCCTTGTAGATATACAAGGGGTTTTCTTTAAGGGTGTGTCTCTCTTCGATTTGTGGAGGGAACCTGTATTCAACTCTACAGTCCTAAAGGAGAAGGAGCTTCGGAGGAGTCAGGTATGACCTTGATTCCCACATATTGCTCCTGTATTTCTGACTTCCTGTCTTCCTGGGGGAGGCCCTGGGTGGTGCAAACTGTTGATGTGCTCAGCTGCTAACTGAAAGTTTGGCAGGTCGAATCTACCCAGAGGTGCCTTGGAAGAAAGGCCTGGTGATCTACTTCCAAAAAATCAGCCATTGAAAACCCTATGGAGTGCAGGTTCTACTCTGAAGCACATAGGGTTGCTGTGAGTCGGAATTGACTCAGTGACAACTGTTTTTTTTTTTTTTCTTGTTTTCTTGAGAAGGTCAATTTTAAGGTTAATTTGGTAAAAGAAATTTACTTCTGTGTGATTAAATCCAACAGGCAGAATAGCATAGTGTTAAAATGTTAGGCAAGATGTGAGCATGAATTCTGGCTCTGCCATTTATTAGCTTTGGGGGGCCTACTTTTCCCTGCACGCTGTTCATTGCGGTATTACAAAGGCCCTCTCAGGTTCAAGCAGAGGCAAGGTTCTGGAAGAGTCACATTGGGCAGGAAATATGGTTGCTGCCATTTTGGAAAATACATCCTGCCACAGATGACTTTCAGATGTTTTTGTCTCTGCAACTGAGTAGATGGAGTTGCCATTTCCTGAAATGAGGAGGACTGTGGGAGGGCCACAGAACTTGACCCTGTGCCCGAGGAAATCTCTGGGGCCACACAGAGAACATCCAGAATTCCCCTCCTCTGCTAGTTCTTTTGCCTGTGTCTTTGTGATGCTTAAGGACCTCAGCTGCCATGTCACAGATGCCTCTGTCTAACTCTAGCTCATAATTTATTGTGCTTGGGGAATTACGTTCAAAGTTTCAGAGTCTATAAAATAGACAGATATCGTACTTGATCATGTCTGCAAGTTAGGTGTTCTGTAAAATTACATTCCTTAAAACAAATGACTCCCCTGACTACTATGTATTGTTCTCCTAGAGTGCTCATCTGGGAGGGTTTGAGGGGAGCGCATGCTGCGAGCAGGAGTTACTTTACTGATGGTATTTTCTAGTACATCCTGGTCTGTTCATCCATCTCTTCTGCTTTTGCTTTCTGGGATGTTGTGTGTTCAGGAACTAGTGGGTGGAGATGTGAATAGAGGCTACAGACAGTTCCCAGCTGGTCGATGGCTTACTATAAAGCACAGGAGGCAAACCTCCAGCCTTGCTGCCCAATACCTTTGCTCCTCATTCACCTCTCAGAGCATAGGAGTCACCAGGGGTGTAAGCGCATGGGCTCTGGAATCACCAGTTCAAATCTCAGCTCTGCCACTTAGCAATCGTACGGTCCTGGATAAGTAACAAGGAGCCCTGGTGGCGCAGTGGTTAAGCACTTGGCTGCTAACTAGAAGGTCGGCAGTTTGAACCCAGCAGCCGCTCCAAGGGAGAAAGATATGGCAGTCTGCTTCCGTAAAGATTACAGCCTTGGAAACCCTATGGGGCGGTTGTACTCTGTCCTATAGGGTTGGTATGAGTCGAAATCGACTTGACGGCAGTGGGTTTTGGTTTGGGTAATGTCTTAGTCATCTAGTGCTGCTTCAACAGAAATACCACAAGTGGATGGCTTTAACAAAGCAAAGTTTATTCTCTCACAGTCCGGTAGGCTACAAGTCTGAATTCAGGGCATCAGCTCCAGGAGAAGTCTTTCTCTCTCTGTTGGCTCTGGAGGAAGGTCCTTGCGATGCATCAGTCTTTCCTTGGTCTGGGAGCATCGCAGTGCAAGAACCTCAGGTCCAAAGGATGCGCTCTGCTCCCGGCACTGCTTTCTTGGTGGTGTGAGGTTCCCATGTGTCTCTGCTCGCTTCTCTCTTTTATATCTCAAAAGAGATTGGATCAAGACACTATCTAATCTTGTAAACCTCATCAGCATGACCTCATCACAGTGATAGAATTTACAACACATAAGGAGATCACATATAACCTCATCATAGTGATAGAGTTTACAACACATAAGGAAATCACATCAGATTACACGATCATACAATCATGACCTAGCCAAGTTACTACACACATTTTTTTGGGGGGACACAATTCAATCCATGACAGGAAAGTAACAAAGGATCCCTGGAGGCACAGTGATTAAGCACTCAGCTGCTAACTGAAGGGTCAGCCATTCAAACCCACTGCGGTAGAAAGATGTGGCAGTCTGCTTCTGTAAAGATTACAGCTTTGGAAACCCTATAGGGCAGTTCCACTCTGTCCTATAGGGTCACGACTATGAGTCAGAATCGAATCGATTTGACTCAACGGCACCGGGTTTAGTTTTTGGTTTTGGGTAAGTAACATAACCTGTTAGGCCTCCAGTTTCCAATCTGTAAAATGAGATCGTAGCATCTTTTCCTCACAGGGCCTCACAGTGTTGGCCACACAGTGAGCGCCCCATGCACTCTGGCAACCATTCTCTTCCCTTAGGCCTTGTTCCTGTATGAGCTTCTGTCAAAGACCACCAGAAAGCCCGATGAGCTCCTGAGGTAGGAGAATGTAACTCGCCTGGGGGCTGAAGAGCCCTTTGGAGCCTTACACCCGAGGAGCCTGATTTCCCAGGAGGGACAGCTGGACAGTCACGTCTGTAGCCTGTGTCACGTCAAATCTGCCTTCTCTTGCTCCTTCTTTTCTGTCTTCCCCACTGCTTCTTCTCCTGGGTCCGTTGTTTTGTTTTCTAGAACAGGTCAGCTGGTCAAAGGTGTGAGGTGCTCCCACATTGAGGCCATGAGCGCGGACTCCTTCCTAGTCCATTTCCGGTATTTTGAGAACAATCTCTCACTGCTATCGCCGTATCAGGTACCGTCAGACATTCTCCTGCTTCTGATTTCTCTGTCTACCTGGGTCGCTGGGCTGGCTTGACTGTGGTGTCTCATTTTCCAGATGCAGCTGATGATTTGGGGCCAAATCTTGAGCCAGGTCTTCTCCAGTTTATTTTTTAAAAGGCCCAAAATACCCATATTGCTTCAGTCGACGTTTCAACAGATTGGTCATTCCATAGTCAACTTAGAACCTTAAAATACATTTGTAGGGTGTACCATTTTGCTTGCTCAAAATTATGTTCTCCTGGGACGGAATGTAATCCCTCATCTAACATTCCTATCCTTTCTAGAGGTAGCCCTGAATATGAGCAATAGTCTAAGAGAATTTTCTTTTTCATTTAAAACTTCATTTACCAAACTGTTACAGAGACTCTTTAACCCTGGGAAACCAGAGGAAGTAACTGACTCTTTACAGTATCTAAGCAAGTGAAAAGATCCCTGGTGGTGCAGTTTGTGCTCGCCTACTAACCTAAAGGCTGGAAGTTTGAATCCACCAGTGGTGCTGCAGAAAAAAGGCCTGGCGATCTTCATCCCTAAAGATAAAAAATCCGTTGTCGTCAAGTCAATTCCGACTCATAGTGACCCTATAGGACAGAATAGAACTGCCCCACAGGATTTTCTGTACAGGAAGGCTGTAATATCTCCAGAAGCAGACTGCTACATCTTTTTCCTGCGGAGAGGCTAGTGGGTTCGAACCAACGACCTTTTTTTTTTTTCGGTTCGCAGCCGAGCGCTTAACCACTGCGCCACCAGGGCTCCTTTTCATAAAGATTACAGCCAAGGAAACCTTATGGAACAGTTCTACTCTGTAACACATGGGGTCACCGTGAGTCGGAATCCACTGGATGGCAACGAGTTAAGGAAAGAGTGTTTGGGCTTTGAGTGTGAACTGCTGGCTATACGGAATCCTGAGAGAGTGAGCGAGTGAACATACCAGGTGTCTTCCCAACTCAGGCCTAGATCGGAATTAAAAGTTTCCCACTAGTGAATTCTCTCCCCAGAGGCAGGAAGTGTAAAGCTTGGTGTTATTATCCTTTGAGATCATTAGAGGAGTATGCGGTTTTAACGAAGCCCTGTCATCCCTTGCATTGTCTGTTTTATCAGTGGTTCTCAAATGTGAGCTTGCATCAGCATCACCTGGAAGGCTTGTGAAAACACAGACTGGGGGGCTCCACCCCGGAGTTTCTGTATAGTAGGTCTGCGCTGAGGCCCGAGAATTTGCATTTCTAACCAGTTCCCAGGTGAGAACCACGGCAAGCTAGTAAAAGCCCTGCCCAGACAGGGAAGGTGATACCGGATCAAATGGATGGAGGTCAGACCCGCGTTGAGGAAGACCTACATATTCGAGCACGAAGAGTTGCCCCCAACGAACCCAGACTCTCCGCAGATCTCAGAACCTTCAAATCCCAGTTAATTAGAAAAATTGCCTTTATTGTTTTCATTTTTGCTGAAAACACATAATCACTATTAAAAAAATGAAACAATACAGATAAAGTAAAATTTCTCATAAGCCTGCCCCTAGAGCAGTACTTCTCAACTGAGCAGGAGGCAGTTTTGTCCTCCAGGGGACATTTGAAAAAGTCTGGAGACATTTTTGGTTGTCACAACAGCGGAACGGGCAGGGGTGGGGGGATGCTACTGACATCTAGTGGGTGGAGGCCACGGATGTTGCTAAACATCCCACAATGTGCGGGACAGCCCCCCACAGTAAAGAATTATCCAGTCCAAAGTGTCGATAGTGCTGAGGCCGAGAAACCCTGGGTTAGAGGTAACTACAGTGGAAAGTTCGTTATTGACTTTGAGACTCTTTTTTCATATATAAAATATATTTATATGTAATTTTAAAAACACAATTGAGCTTATATATACTAGTCTGTTTCACTTTACATATAATAAAGAGCCCTGGTGGGGCAGTGGTAAGCGTTCGGCTGCTAACTGAAAGGTCTGCAGTTTGGACCCACCAGCTGCTCCGTGGGAGAAAGATGTGGCAGTCTGCTTTAGTAAAGATTACAGCCTTGGAAACCCTCTGGGGCAGTTCTACTCTGTCCTGTAGGGTCTCTATGAGTCAGAATAGACTCAACGGCAACAAGTTTAGATATTTTTTTTTTAACAAAATAAAATAAAATGGGGCCTGTGCATCATTCCATATTAATATATGTAAATCTACCTTATTCAAAAAAATAGTTGCATAGTACTCTATTGCATGCTTAAACCGTAGTTTACTTAACCAGAGTCCCTACTGAGGGATGTTAAAGTTATATCTCACTTTCTTGCATTTATAAACAAAACTGTGAGGTGCATCCTCAGATGTGAATTTTGTGTTTGTCTCATTATTGCATTAGTTTCCTCATCCATAAAATGGGCCAATAACAGTACCTACACCATAGGATGTTATATTAAATAAATGAACATGTATAAAGCACTTAGAACAGTGCCTGGCACACAGAAAGCACTATTTGTGATGATTTGGGACCAAATATTGGGCCAGGTTTATAATAATAATAAATAATAATAATAATTTATAGTAATAATAGGAGCCCTGGCGGCCAGTGGTTAAGTGCTCAGCTGCCAGCCAAAAGGTTGGTGGTTCGAATCCACCAGCTGCTCTGTGGAGAAAGATGTGACAGTCTGCTTCTGTAAAGATTTACAGCCTTGGAAACCCTGTGGGGCAGTTCTACTTTGTCCTATAGGGTCACTATGAGTTGGAATTGACTTGATGACAATGGGTTTTGGATAGTAATAATAATTATTTATAAGAATAATTATTATTGAACTAAATTCCTAGAACTGCTTCATTCTTTCAGGTTAATTGCTTGGCGTGGAAATACTGGAAAGTTTCCAGGTCCTCTATGCCGCCTTTTCTTTTGGCCACACTCCCGTAAGTGAACATCGGTCCCACTTTCTGGCTCAGCAGTTAGACTGGTGGGAATCACTCAAGCCAAAGTGGTTCTCCCTTCTTGGGTCTTCATAAGGTGTCAGAGGTCAAGCAGAGGATGTCTTAAGACAGTTAAGTCCTTGAAGACCAGGATTTAGATTCTGAGCCCCACATAGACATTTCAGAAGACCCTCTTGCTTTTCTTTTTTTCTTCCTGGAACTTAAAAACCAAAGCAAAAGCAACTCAAGCCTGAACGAGTGCCAGTGAAGCAAGTCCCAGGTGGGCTGGCCTTAGTTGTGCCCGTGATCCAGGGGAGCCAGGGAGGATGTGGGCAGTGAGGATTTCTTCTGGATGCTCTGGCTCCAGGCCTATGGAGGAAGCCCTGCTTTTCAGACACTGTCTGGAGACTGCTTCTCTCCTTTTCTCCTTCTTCATTTCTTTCTCCTGCCTCCTCCTGTTCTTATCTTCATTCATTCAAAAAGATGAGAGCTTACTCTGTGCTAATTCTCAGATATAACAAGATTTTTTCCCATATAAGAGGTTGCAGTCTCATGGGGGAAAAATAGACGAGTAAGAAGTCAATTATAGTATCAAGTTGATATTTGGTTGAAAGTGACAGAATCTTAACTCAAACTGCCTTAGATGATAGGAGGGAATTTTTGGTTCAAATAACTGGAAAGTTCAGGGGTGGACTTCAGGCATAGCTGGATCTAGGGGCTCAAATGATATCATTTGTCTCCCTGTCTCTTGCCCTTGTTTTCTGCTGTTGACTCCATCTTAGACAAGTTCTTTCTCTCTGGTGGCCCTTGGCCGGAGATGTTCCAGGGTTACATCTTCCCAGCTTCATATTCAAGGGAAAGAGAAAGACTTTCTTCCCATCATTCTCAATAAAAGTAATGAGTTTGATGTTTCTTGGCCTAATTTGGGCCAATTTGCTCACCTTGAACCAATCACGGGAGTTGGGAGGATGGGTAGCTTTGACTGGCTTAGATCTGTATTGCACCCCTGCAGCTGGGCATGGAATTGGCTCCACCCTACTTAGACTTAAAGTGAAGGAGGTGGTTCTCCATGAAAACCAGGTGTAATGGACACTGGGCACAGAGGAGGGACTGTCTCCTTCAGACTGGAGAGTCAGGGAAGACCAAACTAAAGCTCGAGGGAGTTTAAGGTGGGTACTCCAGGCAGCTGCACAAGAGACATCCTGTTCAGTGGTGGGTGAGGAAAGCGAAGCACTCAGGGGAACACAGCGTGTGCATGCAGAGTAGCTGGGAGAGAGAAGGCCAGAGAAATAAGGGCAGTCCGATCACCAAGGGCCTTATGTGATGCTCTGAGCTGTTTCACTTGTACTCGAGGCATAGCCATCGGATATATGTTTCAGAAAGATCTTTGTCCCCATCTGGATAGAGGAGGGAATGCAGGGGATCTGGCTGGAAGGAGGGAGACAGCGGAAGCTTATTTCAGTAACCCAGATGTTGGCAAGGCTGGCTTCTTCCGCTCATCCATGTCTCAGCTGCCTTAGAAGGGACTCCCCTGTTACCCCCATCATTGTTCTCTATTACAGAACCATTTTATTTTCCTCCTTACGTTTATCATTAGCAGAAATGTTTTATTCATTGGTTTGTGTGTTTCTTTCCCCCACTAGAATGTAAGCACCATGAAGGCAGGGGCCATTCATGCCTTGCTCATTGCTGTACCTGGTGCCTAGTAGAGTGCTTGGCATGAAGTAGGTGTTCTGTAGATATTTGTTGAATGAATGAATGAAGAAATAAATAAAAACAGTGGTACTGGGAAGGGAGAGGTGAAAACAGACTTGAGTAATATTAAGGAAATAGCAGTGACGGAAACCCTGGTGGCATAGTGGTTAAGAACTATGGCTGCTAACCAAAAGGCTGGCAGTTTGAATCCACCATGTGCTCCTTGGAAACCATATGGGGCAGTCCTGCTCTGTCCTATAGGGTCACTATGAGTTCGAATCAACTCAACGACAACAAGTTTTTTTTTTTTTAAATTTTTTCCCATACAAAAATGTATACATACATTGTTATATGACCCTAATTGCTCTCCCCATACTGTGACAGCACACTCTTCCTTTTCACCCCTGATTCCCCATGTCCATTCAACCAGCTCCTAACCCTCTCTGCCTTCCCATCTCACCTCCGGACAGAAGCTCCCCGTTTAGTCTCTTGTATCTACTTGAGCTAAGAGGCACACTCCTCACGAGTATCACTTTATGTCCCACAGTCCAGTCCAATCCCTGTCTGAAGAGTTGGCCTCGGAAATTGTTTTAGTTCTGGGCTGATAGAGAATACAGGGGCCATGCTTTCCCGTGTTCCTCCAGTCTCAGTCAGACCATTAAGTCTGGTCTTCTTACTAGAATTTGAGTTCTGCACCCCAACTTTCTCTTGCTCCATCAGGGACTCTGTTGTTGAAGTAGATGTTGTCAGGGCGATCATTGGTGGTAGCCGGGCACCATCTAGTTCTTCTGGCCTCAGGCTGATGAAGTCTCTGGTTTATGCGGCCCTTCCTGTCTCTTGGGCTAATACTTTCCTTGTGTCTTTGGTGTTCTTCATTCTCCTTTACTCCAGGTGGTTGGGACCAATTGATGCACCTTAGATGGCCGCTTGCCAGCTTTTAAGACCCCAGACGCCACTCACCAAAGTAGGATGAAGAACAGTTTCTTAATAAGCTTCGTTATGCCAATTGACCTAGATGTTCCCTGAAAGCATGGTCCCCAGACCCCTGCCCCTGCTACTCTGTCCCTTGGCAATGGGTTTTAATGATGGATTTAGGGATAAGGGGGAAATTCTAGGCTAGCACAGAGAAGAAGTCCCTGGGTGATGTAAACTGTTAATAAGCGCAGCTGCTAACCAAAAGGTTGGAGGTTTGAGCCCATCCAGTGGTGCCTCAGAAGAGAGGCCTGGCAATCTATTTCCAAAAAATCAGCCATTCTAAGCTCTGTGGAGTACTGTTCTACTCTGACACACATGGGGTCATTATGAGTTGGAATTGACTCAACAGCTGGTGGTGGTGGGTATAGAGAAGGAAGAATATGTACATGTTTGAAGGCAGGTGTTGAGTTTGGCTTTGGAATATTGAAGTGGTGATGATGAGTAGCTCATAGTTTTAGGCAGTGTTTCTCAACATTTAGTTTCAAAACAGCTTTATTGAGATATAATTCACATACCATAAAAGTCATCCATTTATAATGTACAGTTCAGTAGTTTTTAGTATATTCAAAAATATGTGCAGCCATAACTACAGTCAATTTTAGGGCATTTTCATCATCACAAAGGGAAACCCTGTATCCTTTAGTCATCAATCCCTTGTACCCCCGCCCCCCTACCCTCAGCAACCACTGATCTGATTTCTGACTCTATAGATTTGCCTGTTCTAGACATTTCATACAAATTGAATCATATAATAAGTGTTCTTTTGTGTTTGGCTTCTGTCACTTAGCATAATGTTTTCCAGGTTCATCCATGTTGCAGCGTGTATTAGAATTTTATTCCTTTTTATGGCACAATAATATCCCATTGATTGGATATAGCAATACAGCACATTTTGTTTATCCATTCATCTGCCTCAAGCTCTTTTTTTAATAATCATCCCCTAAGGAGAAAAATTTAATTTATCCAAGCAAGAGAAATGATAAACTAAAGAGTAAGAGTTTGTCAAGTAGAGTTGACTTTGGAGGGTCAAAAATCATTGTAATATCTAAGATTTTTTTCATCCCCTGGAACCAGTTTTCTCCCCATGAGAGGCAGTATTGCCTCTGTTGAGAATACATGGTTAAGAGCTTAGGGGAGCATTCTGGGCTGGAGATGATGGAATTGGGAGTCTTTGCTCTTGTTTCTCTCCACTGGTCTCCTCATCTTTCCTCCTTAATTTCTATTTTAGTCTCTCTCCTCTTTGTCTTTTTCTGTTCCATCTTTTCCTTTCCTCTCTCCTCATCTTCCTTCAGCCAGTTCACCAGTCAACGTAGGTTTGTGGAGAACCCGTTCTCTGATCAGTGCTGCTGGGACATAGAAAAGGAGCATGATGGGAAATTTGTTTCTTGCCATAGAAGAGGAGCAGGGTGGGTGGGAGGCTTGCTAGCCACCAAAAAGAGCCACAAAAATCACCAGGGAAGAGTTTATGTTAATGAGGGAGGAACAACTTGGAAAAGGAGGGTGAGAATGTTTGCACAACTCAAAAAACGTAATCAATGCTACTGAACTGCACGTGTAGAAACTGTTGAGTTGGTGTTTTGCTGTGTATATTCTCAACAACAACAACAACAAAATAAACTATATAAAAAAAATCACTAAGGAGAAAAACATTTAAATAACACCCTTGTGATAAGCTCTGGGCATATGGGCCCTGAGTTCAGCGGTGAATACAGAGCAGCCAACTTTTCCCTCCTTCCGTTCTCCCCATCTCTCTCCAGGGCCCGCTACCTGGCTTCAGTCCCAGCTTCCCAGTGTGTGCCTTTTCTGATCAGCCTGGGCAAGAGTCAATTGGACTTGTTGGTTTTAGATTCTCACAAAAAGAATTTGGTCCTCGGGAAAGTGCAGCAGTGCCTGGTAAGGACATTTTTCCTGGGTGAGAGTTTCTCTGATGTCCCTTCCCCTCTGGTGCCTGTAGACAGACATCCCAGGGAACCCTCAAGGGGATCTGGCAGGAGGGATCTTGCCTGCTGTGATGGCTGGAGGTCTGACTTGGGGATTTCAGAGCTGGCTCTGAAGCCGCTGGTTGGGACAAGTCTGGCCCTTGGTTGTGGAGACTCCCAAACCCAGACCCTGAATGAGAAGAGGCTGCTCTAGAGGACTGGAAAGAGCACTGTACTCAAGAGTCTGGATTCTAGACTTGGATTCTAGAATGCCTCTGCCAGTGATTAGTTATGTGGTTTTGGGCAAGTCATTTCTCCTCCCTGAACCTCAGTCTCCTCATCAATAAGAAGGGTGTAATGGCATTTACCTTGTAGAGTTATTGAGGGGATGAAACAGGCAATGCTTTGCCTAATGCAAAGGCCCAACGGGCAAACCCTGGAGCCAGACGGTCTGGGTGTGAATCCGAGCATTGCCACTAGCTGGCAGTTTCTTTATCTTTAAAAAGCAGATAATGTTAGTACCTACCTCTTCTGGTTCCTTTGCGGATGAATGGGTTAAGACCTGTAAACACTTAGAACAGTACCTGGCACATAGTAAGCCTTCCATAAATGTTAGCTGTTTTTGTCATTTTGAGAAAGGCTTTGAAGGCTGTCAAGTGCTCTGCAAAATCTGAGGTGCTGTTTTTATTATTGTTATAGAGTAATTATAATGGATATCGAAATCTGAAATATCCCCAGAGCAATACCAACAACGACAACAACGGCCCTCATTTACTGAGTGTTCATGATGTGCCGAGACTTGCCCACAACTGCTCCCCACTGGGGTTTTCCAAACTTCTGAGGCTTGCATCCGGGGATAAAATCTATTACCAGTCCACGGCAGGGCAGCCAACCCAGATCCCGGAATGTTTCCAAGGTTTGCGGTTGGGAAGTGTTTTTTAGGGGATCGTGATCTTCAGCCCAGTTGTATCTTCTCATCAGCTTCACTTGTCGGTTTCAGGACGACTCCATTGCCGACGAGTTCGCCGTGGACATGTTGGGGAACCTGCTGTGCCACTTGCCGGCGGCCATCATTGAGCGCGGGATCACGCCCAGGGCCTGGGCCGCCGCCCTGCACGGCCTCAGAGACTGCGCAGACCTCAGCCCAGAGCAGAAGGCTGCGGTGCGGCGCAGGCTGCTGGAGCAGCACGGGTGAGGGCGGGGGCGTGGCTTGGTGGGTGCAGGGGCCCCCAGCCCAGGCTCACCTTCCCTCACACCGAGGTTAGATACTTAGGTTTCGTCTTTTGGCCTTATTCCCTGTAAAGTGAGAGCAATAGTAGGTATCCTGCGGGCCTCACCCAAGACAGCAAGACACTTGGCATAATGGACGGGAAAGTGTTTTGAAAAGACAAATGTAGGTAGTGCTGTTATTATTTTTATAATTTAATAATGATGGTGATGCAAGTAATGGAGGTACCGTCAGCTCTGGGTGAGGGAGCGCTTCCTGGAAGAAGCTCTGCCGCACACAGGGTTTTCGGAGCTTAGGTGGGATATTTGAGCAGGACCTAGCCGTCAATCGATAGTCAGACAACAAATGTTTGAATGATTACTGTGTCCCAGGCACCCAACAGTAACGAAACTGAAACTGACTGCCGTAGCGTCGATTCTGACCCATGGCGTCCCTCTAGGACAGAGTAGAAATGCCCCACAGGGTTTCCAAGGCTGTAATCTTTACGGAAGCAGACTGCTGCGTCTTTCTCCTGTGGAGCGGCCGGTGGGTTCGAACCACTGACCTTTTAGTTAGCAGCTGAGCCCTTAACCACTGTGCCACCAGGGCTCCTGTGTCCCAGGCACTGAATTATTAGTTTAAGAGCATGGACTCCAGAGCAGGACACCTTGAGTTAAAATGTTGTTTTCATCACTTACTGGCTCTTAAAAAAAAATTAATTTTTTTGCACTTTAATTTTTACATCTGTAGAATGGGGACAGTAATAGTCCCCATAGGGTTGTTGTGATGATTAAATGAGTTAATACATGTAAAGGACCCCGAGTATGTGACGACTATTGTTATCATTACTGGCGCTGAAGAGACAGTGGTTATTAAGAAAGACATGGTTTCTGTCCTCAAGGAGCTTACAGTTTAGTGGGCTAATATTTTTAATCAAAGAGATAAGAGGGGTATTTCTTTGGCCAGGGCTGGTTTGCCTCTATCCTAGAGAGGGCCTATCACTGCTAACTGGGCAGACCTCCTTTAGAGATGTCACCAAATAGAGTATGATGCACTTCACTTTAGACATTTGAGGCCTGTATGTAAAAAAAATAAAGGTGGATACTGGGTCAACATCATTATTTTCCTGTCAAGTTCAAGAGGAAACCTTGACTTGCTTCAAGAAAAGACTTTTGCTAATTTAAAAGAAACACATCTCTACCATTCTCTTGAGGAAGGGGAGGGAGAAAACACTGTGACGTAAATGACAGAAAGGCAATTCAAACAAACAAACAAAAAAAGTGAGGATTTATTGAGTTCAGAAATGGAATGCAATGGAAAACTCCAGGGGTGGACTTCAGGAGTGGCTGGATCCAGGGGCTCAAATGATATCAGCAGGAATATGTTCCATTTCTCAGCTCTGTGTTCCTTGGTGTGGACTTATTTTCTCCACTTGGTGAAAGGAATTGCCCCCCAAATCCTCCTTACTGCTAGGAATCTCAGAAAAAAGAGAGCTTCTCTGGTAATGCTATCAAAATTTACAAGGATGATTCTGGTTGGCCAGCTTGCATCATATGCCTATTCTCTTGGTCTGTGAAGTGGGGCCATTTGAAAGCCTCTTCAGGTGTAAATATGATCTGTTCCTGAAAGAAAAGAATGCTGGTGGAGGAGGGCAACAAATGTTTATTAAAACTTTATTTTTCACCTTACTGCTATTGTCTCTTCTTAGACTCCCTCAGAACTGGACAGCTGAGACCACAAAGGACTTGGGACCTTTTCTAGTACTTTTCTCGGGAGATGAGTTAACCTCTATCACCACAAAGGTACCTCTTAAGAAGGCAGAAGGAATTTGAAGGGGACAGGAAGTAGACTCCTTCCATGGGTGGAGGCTGGGGAAGTAGTGAATATTTGCTGAACAATAATCAAATCTACCACAAAGCACATCCACACACTCTCATATCTGTACTTGTGCACATGAGACACGCGTTCTCACATATGCTTAGCAAGGCCTTAACACATGGAACGTCACGCAGACTCACACGTGCCCCGCACACGTTCTTATGTCCAGTCATAATAAAATCATTTCCTGGGTGTCCATAGAGTCATAAACACTGGATGTGATCTTATATATGGATCTAATCTTCCTGAATTAACTTTTTAAATCGAAAAAGCCATGCATCAACATGGTTAAGTCTCAAAAAGTGTAGAATAAATGAAAAGTGAGTGGCAAAAGAATATGTGCAGTAAGATACTAGTTAAAGTTTAAACATATGCTAAACAATTCTATATTTTGTTTATAATTTCATACCTAAATAAGAGAACTTTAATAACACACACGAGAATGGTTAATGCCAAATTCAGGATGATGGTTACTTCTGGGGAAGGAAGGGAGGCAAAAGGTGAGGGGAGACTGATAGAGTCTTCAATTCTATTTGTGATGTTTTATTTCTTAAGCTGGGTGGTGGGCATATGGGTGTTTTGTTGTATTATTCTCCATACCATTTTATGCCTGAAATGTTTGATGAAATCAGCGATGCATGCTCCTAGTTCAAACAAATCCCAACTACACCAAAGGACATATGATGGAAAGCAATTCTCCCTTCCACCTGGCACTTCTATTCCCCAACCTCACTCCTCAGAGACAATTGCTGTTCCCACTTTCTTCTGCATTCTGTCAGAAAAACCCTGCCCAAATGCCTATACACATTCTCCCTTTTAGAAATACAGAATGGAAAATACCATTCACTGTGCTGTGTGCGTTGCTTTTACAAGTTAAGTACTTATCTTAGAGCAGTTGCTTTCAACCTTAACTGCACATTAAAGACAATCTTCAAAGGACAGATATTGTAGGATCTCACTAATATGAAATACCTAGAACAGGCATAAAGAGATCAGAGTTTAACAGTGGTTGCCAGGGGCAGGAGAGACAGGGAAAGAGAGGAGTCATCATTTAGGTAGCATTGAGTTTTTGTTTATGCATCCCCTACATTTTTTCTGGGGGATTTGCATTTTTCCCCAGAAGAATTGATAATGGTGATGGTTGCACAACCTGATTGATATCATTGGTCTTACTGAAATTGTATACATGAAAAATGTTGAAATGGCTAATGTTGTGATAACTATATTTTTCAACAATAAAAAATCAACTGGGGAGATTTAACATGGACTGATACAGAACAAGCCAGAATCTCTGGAGGTGGGACCTGGGTGGCTGTAGAATCCCCAGGTGATTCTCATGTACAGTCAGGGTTGAGAACTACTGGCTTAGACTGTGACTCTAATTCTGAAGATTAGTTCTAGAATAGAAAGAGGAACTATAATCTGAGTGGTGCTTTCCCTTTGAGGGAGCTGGGGCACAGTGGCATGTAGATAGATACATGAAAGGGTTTGCTTAATCATCTGAGTTCATGGACAGGTCTCCCAATAATACCCTAAGTAAGTCTTGACAAAGTGCATTAGTTATAGATGAGAAATGGTACCTTCTCCAAAGCAACCAGAGCCTCTCATTGCTGGTCTCCACCCAGAATCCAGAGATTCTCCTTTTCCTTTTAATGATAAATATAAAATTTAAAAACAGTTCCAAACCTAAAAGGGATAGGCACGTGTACATTTTTGGTAGATACTGTCTTGGTAATGATACACCATCAAACAGTCCCACAGAAAAATGACTGTGATCATTTCCCACATCTTGGCCACCATTGGGTATTATCACTTTATTTTATTTTTGACAATTTGATGGGTGGAAAATGATGTATCTTTATGTTATTTAGCATTTATTGGATTACTATTGAGGGTTATTATAGGATTCTGTAGAGACCGGGTTAGTTGGGCTGGGGATAAAATTTATATGAGAAACTTCTGTAAAGAAAACAAACAAAGCTGTATGTGGTGTTGCAGTTTAAACACGTTAAACTCTGATTAAACTACTGTGGCCATGTGCTTTAATTATTATTTGTTCTTCCTCTTTCATCTCCGCTCCCCCGCATAGTTTCCTGATATCTTTCAACAAACAGCTTTCAAGATGACCAGGACCCTGCCCCCCAAAGAATTCCTCTGGGCTGTCTTTGAATCTGTTCAAAACAGCAGGGATGAGAGCCCCAGTTCTGACCCCAGCCCCGGTGAGTGTTTCTGGGGATGAGTATCCCTGGGGGTGTTTGATCAAAGAAGTGTCATGGTTTGTCGTGGGTTCACCTTGGGTGATCATCTCTCTGAGCATTGCCTCAGCCTAATCTTTAACCTGTAGGTGAACTCTCTGGTTTCTCCCATTTTCTCCATGAAGGAAACTGAAGTTTAGAGAGATTGAAGGACTCGGCCAAAGTCACAGGGCTAGTATGTGGCAGATCTCAGATTTGTACCCAAAGCTGATGATGTACTGCACCAGCTCGTGCTGCCCTCGAAGGCCTAGCAGTCCAGTTGTAACATTGCAACCCTCTTGCAGTATGCATGTGGATATGCGAAAGTTAGACTTGCCACACTCCTTGGGGAGGAAGCTCTGTGCCAGCACGTATTCCGAGTTTTCTTAAGTTGTTCTGGGTATTGATTACTGCTGTCCTTATAGTAATTAATGAATTAGCAGAAATTACTATTTGGTTTTATTTTTGTTAATTTGTGTGTGTGTGTGCATTCATTCAACAAATATTTGCTAAACACCTAGTCTGTGCCAGGCCCTATTCTAAGCAGTGATAAGATGAAGTCCCTGATGTTCTATGAAGCCATTTTGTTCCTCTCTGACTCTGTTATCAAAACAAAACAAAACAAAGCAAACAAACAAAAAAACCAAACCCATTGCTGTAGAGTTGATTCCTACTCATAGTGACCATATACGACAGAGTAGAACTACCCCATAGGATTTCCAAGGCCGTAATCTTTGCAGAAGCAGGCTGCCACATCTTTCTCTTATGGAGCGGCTGGTGGGTTCGAACTGCCGACCTTTTGATTAGCAGCCAGCAGGGTATCACTGAATCCTATTTTCACTGGGAGTGGGGTGGAGAGTTTATGAGGAATGGATCTTTTCTCCCCTCTAAGTGGGTTGTGATATAGATGGTTCAGGACCACCCCTGGAACCCTTGATCTGATCCAGTTTCACCTCTTGATTGGGACCAAGTGAATTTCCATTAAAGGTGCAGTGAGGGGGAGTGGCCACTGGGCTTGGGAAATGCCCTGGCCCGGGGTGGTACTGGCCAGTCTGCCAGCGTCTTTCCCGCTCAGCTGGTAAGACAAGAAATCTAGGATTTCTCTTAGCACAAGGAGCCTTGTTTTTTTCCCCAGGTTGGGCAAATCTGGGCCAGCAGAGGCAATATTTTATTTGCATGTCAACGGGTAACTGGTTTGGTTAGGTAAGGCTCAACTTACTCAAAGACCATGAGGGGTGGGCTTCTCCCGTTGCTCAGGGAAATGCGATGGGCCCACCTCTCCTCTCTCCTGGGACAGGAAGGCCACAACCCCCCACTATAATTTTTATGGAAGGCAAATCATCCTCGCAATTGGATAGGAATTCTCCTTCCTCATAATTCTGGAATGCTTAATGCTGGGTTGCAAACTCAAAGGCATAGGTGGGGCCAGACAGGTAACATGAATAGTAAGAATGGCTAATATTTATTGAGTGCTTGCTGTATGCCTGGCACTGTTCTAAGTGCTTTATTTATATTAACAGGTACAGTCCTAACAAAAATCTTATGAGGTAATTTATCCCCTTTTATAGATGAGGAAACTGAGGTACAGAGGGGTTAAATAGCTTTGGATTTAAATCTGAAGTCAAGACTGTTCACCACCGTATCCTACTACCCTCGAGGGGTTCAAAGTCCAGTTATAATGTTGTGAAGCTTCTACCGTGTGCATGTGGATATACAAAAAGTTGGAATTTCCACTATTTTGTTACCAGAAGATTAGCAAGAAATGGCAGAAGTGGGATTGAAACTGGCCCCTGCGTCTGCTGTACTGCCTCTCATGAATAAATACAACTGGAGAAGAATATAGTCTCTATTTGCCTGGAATAATAGAGGAGGAAAGAGAGTCAGGAATAAGAGGAGGATATGGAATGTGTGGCTAATTGCCTCCATGAACAACTGTGTCCTTTGCCATGAGGCCAGATGGTGCCTGGCTACCATTACTGAACATTTTGATAAAAGATTCTATAGAAAAATCCTGATCAAAGGGGTGGGGGGGAATGCAGAACGGAATTTAAAATTCTCATGGACTCCAGACTTTCTGGAGCCATGGAGGCTGGGTGAACCCCTGAAACTATTGCCTTGATGAAATCTTTAAACCTTAAACCAAAAATATCCCCTGAGAGAGAGAGAGAGACCTGTTGCCGTCGAGTATATTCTGACTCATAATGACCCTATAGGACAGAGTAAAACGGCTCCATAGGGTTTCCAAGGAACAGCTGGTGGATTCAAATTGCTGACCTTTTGGTTGGCAGCTGAACTCTTAACCACTGCTCCACCACGGCTCCTCTACTTCTCAAAACCAAACGATAGTTTAGCTCAACTACTAAAGAATGTCTGCTTTGTAAAGCATGTCTGCCTTGAGCATTGTGCTCTTTCAAGATCTTTCTATATGGGATCAAAAGAACCGGAAAGATTAGATAGGAACCCTAGGGGGCAGTGAGTTTATGTTAATGGGGGAGGAAAAACTCAGAAAAGGAAGGTGAGAATGGTTGCACAACGAGAAGAGTATAATCAATGTCACTGAATTGTACATGTAAAAACTATTGAATTGGTGTATGTTTTGCTATGTATGTTTTCAACAACCACCAAATAAATTAAAAACGAACAAGAAACAGACTAAAATTCCCTAAAATTCTCTTTCCTCCATTCCTAAGCTGCTTCTCCCTATTCTTCAGGTTGCCATGGAGTTGTAATTCCCTCTTCCGATGACATCCTCAAGTTGGCCGAAGCCAATGCCTGCTGGACCCCTGACGCCCTGCTCTCCATGGAGGAGGACACGTTCATCAGGAACGTGGAGCTGCTGGGCATGGTCAAGGGTTTCAGCCAGCCTCAGCTGATAGCCCTGAAGGAGAAGGCGATACAGGTAGAGCCCACGTCAGAGAGGGAGGCATTAAACAGAGGGAAAAACCATCCGCTGCAGCCTTGCTGTGCGTAGAGAGAGCCCTCCTCAAGGGGTGTTCACGTACGTTAAAATTTCACCACATCAGCTTAGTGCTATACTGGTGATTTCCTCATCTGAGAAACAGGGAAGTTTCTAGCTCCCCCTTCTTAGCATTGTGGCAGGAAACGATGGATCTTGGCACATAGTGGATGCTCAGTAAATCAGATTCTGTGCGTGTCTGGGTGCCTCTGACCGTGATGGTTCCAGGGATTGTGCCTTTTTCCCCTCCACTTGGAGAAGCCCAACTGCTGCTCGCAGCAGGCGTTCTCAGAATCTGCTGCAGATTAATCTGGAAATGTAGCAAAAAGGAGTAAAAAGAGGACTGGAAGTAGTTTGCCATCTTTAAAAATGTCCATTTTAGTGGCTTGTCTTGGATCTTAGCTGTTAGGATAGTTGTGGAATATCTAGTTATCTCTGTGCGGTTTAAAAAAAATTAAATACCTTAAAATTATTTTTATAACTGTATTTTTAAAAATGTATAAGTAGTCCAGATTTATTGGAGAAAAGTCAGAAAGTAATAAAGAAGAAAATCAGTCATAATCCTTTATCCAGAGATCCAGAGATCAGCAATATTAATTTTTTGGTATATAGCTTCCCAGACTTCTGTTTATGTGTGTAAAATATATTTATATATTTGACATATAATTATATGTATGTGTGTGTACACACACACACACACACACATATACATAAAACCAAATATGGTGTCATATTCACTTACTATTCTATAACCTGCTTTCTATACCCAACAGTATAGAGTGGATATTTTTCCGTATCAGAAAAATAAATCTCTATCACTGTTTTTAAATAGCCATATAATATTTTATTTTATGGCTGGATCTTATTTATTTAACCAATTGTTAGATTTTTAGGTTGTATCTTTTTTCATTCTACAAAAAAGGTATGTCTACATATATCTTTTGACACTTGTCTCATTAGTTCCTTAGGCAAAATTCCCAGGGGTAGAATTTCTGGGTCAAAGAGCATAAAAATTTTAAAAGCTTTCAATACATGTAGCCAAATTGCCCTCTAAAAACTATGTGACAATGTATGTTCTCAGTAGCATCAAATGAGGGTATTCTTTATCCCATGTCTTTCCAACACCATAAACAATCACTGTTTTTACTCCTTGCCAATATGATGGGCCAACATGATACTCTCTGATTGTTTTAAATTTAGATTTCTTTAATTTGAATGAGAATGAACTTTTTCCCATATGTTTATTTCTGCTTTTGTAAATTTCTGTTCTTGTCTTTTGTGTATTTTTCTACAAAAGTAGTCATCTTTTTCTTATTGATTTACAAGAGAACTTTATATATTAAGGAGATGTACTTTATGTTCGTTTTAAGTGTTGTCACAAATTTTCAGCCTGAGCTGGATTGTTTTTCACCTGAAGGTTTGGGGTATGCCTTTTTACTGGAGACAGCACCATATTGTCTCCCTGGGACGCATTGCTCTGGCTCTTAATGAGAGTGAGTTGGAGCAGCTGGACCTCAGCTCCATTGACACAGTGGCTTCCCTAACCCAGCAGACAGAATGGACCCCAGGACAGGTAGGTAGATATTTGGTGGATCTTTAAATTATGCTATTTCTCTTAATTTAGTTTGTTTTCTTTAGCATCCTTGAATATATTAATAATATATATAGCAGCTGTTTTAAAATCCCCACTGCTAATTCCATCATCTCTGTCATTACTGAGTGTTTCTATTGAATAATTTTTCTCCTAGTTATGGGTCACATCTTTCTGCTTATTGGAAAGCTTGGTAATTTTGATAGAATGTTGGACATTGTGAATTTTATGTTGTTGATTGCTGGATTTAGTTATATTCCTTTAAAGAATATTGGGCTTTGTTCTGGCATACACTTAAGTTACCTTTGATTCAGTTTGATCATTTTGAGGCTTTCTTTTTTTTTTTTTTGGTCATTAAGTGGCACCTTTTATTGTGCTTTAGGTGAAGGCTTACGGAACAAATAGTTTGTCATTACACAGTCAGTACGCGTATTGTTTTATGACATTGGTTAACAAACCCACAACACGTCAACACTCTCTTCTCGACCTTAGAGGACATTTTTTCTTTTTTGGTGAAAATATACATAGCCAAAGATACACCATTTCAAAAATTTCTACATGTACAATTCAGTGACATCAATTACGTTCTTCCAGTTGTGCTTGTATTCTCACTATCCTTTTCCAAATTATTCCATCACCATTATCTTCAACTCATTGCCCCCTAGGATTCCCATCAAACCTTTTGAGTTGCTGTTGTCAATTTGATCTCACATAGATAATTCTTTTTTTTTTTGTACTTCAGATGAAGGTTTACAGAACAGAATAGTTTCTCATTAAACAGTTAGTACACATATTGCCCTATGACCATGGTTAACAACCCTATGACATGTCAACACTGTCCCTTCTCAACCTTGGGTTCCCTATCACCAGCTTTCCTGTCCCCTCTTGCCTTCTATTCCTTGTCCCTGGACTGCTGTGCCTCATTAGACCCGTTTTGCTTTATGGGGCTGTCTAATTCATGGCTGAATGGTGAACCTTGGGAGTAACTTCACCACTGAGCTGAAAGGGTGTCTGGGGGCCATACTCTCAGGGTTTCTCCAGTCTCTGTCAGACCAGTAAATCTGGTCTATTTTGTGTTAGAATTTTGTTCTACATCCTTCTCCAGCTCTGTCCAGGACCCTCTGTTGTGATGCCAGTCAGAGCAGTCAGTGGTGGTAGCCAGGAACCATCCAGCTGTACTGGACTCACTCTGATGGAGGCTGTGGTAGCCGTGGTCCGTTAGTCTTTTGGACTGATCTTTTCCTTGTGTCCTGTTCTCTTCATTCTCCCTTGCTCCCAAAGGGGTGAGACCAGTGGAGTGTCTTAGATGGCTGCTCACAGGCTTTTAAGACCCCAGACACTACTCACCAAGGTAGAATGCAGAACATTGTCTTTATAAACTGTGTTATGCCAGTTGAGCTAGATGTTCCCCAAGATCATGGTCCCCACAACTTGAGGCTTTCTTTTAAGCTTTATTAGGGCAGGTTCAGAGTAGACTTTATTTTGTGGTCAGTTTACCCCATTACTAAGACATGATTTTTCTGAGGACTCTACTTAATGCTCCATGTGTTTTAAGAGCTCTCCACTCTGGCTGATGGGATTGTAAAGTATTCCTAGCTCCATGTGACCTCTGGAAATTGTTCAGCCTACTGCTTTCTGATGGCTCTTTCCCCTTCTATGTGGCGTTTCACCCCTTGAGTGCAGATCAATACCCAGTCAAAGACTTGAGAAGACCTCTCTGCAGATATCCAGAGCTCTCTCTTTGTGCAATTTTCTCCTCCCTAGTACTTTCCCCCACAAATTCTAGGTGCCTGGCCTCTTTGAACTTGGATGTCTGTATCCTCAACTTAGCTGGACCACTGGGCTTGTTGGGGTTCCTTTCCTAGTCCTGTGGCTTGGAAATTGTCTTTAGACAGTAAGCTAGGGCAATTTTTAGGGCTCATCTTGTTTGTTTTCCTTCTTTCAGATCCACAGTCCCTGTTGTCCAATGTTTGAATACAGTTGTTCCATATATTATATTCAGATTTCTAGTCGTTCATGGTGGGAGAGAAATTCCTATGACAGTTCATCCTTCATGCTAAAGCAGGAGTTCTCCCCAGAATTTTAATTATTTCAATTGGGAGAGAAGTTTAAGGTGTTTAGTCTACTGTTTATCTTCATTTTCAGGCAGCTATCCCTCAGTCATCATTTTCATCACTAGGTTTACATACTATCAGGTTAGCATCCCCATCGAAAAATGTACCTTTTTATAATTAGTTTTTGAAAAAGTTCAGCGTTGACTCCAATCATGTACTTGCCCACCCCTGAACAATCACTCTGGCCAGGGGCAGATGTGTTGTAGGCCAGGCATGTGTCAGGAAGTCTGTCTCAGCATGTACACTTGAACTGAGAGTGGAGATTTGTTGTTTGGTAGTCTGAATAAAGGAGTCCTGGCAGTGTGATGGTTAAGTGCTTGGCTGCTAACCAAAAGGTCAGCGTTTTGAACCCGGCAGCAGCTCTGCAGGAGAAAAGACCTGGTGATCTGCTCCCATAAAGATTATAGCCTAGAAAACCTTATATGGAAGTTCTGCTCCGTCATATAGGGTTGACTTGACAGCACACAACAACAACAACCATCTGAATAATGGCACCCCACAGATCAGAGATGTCCATGACCGAGTCCTCAGAACCTGTGAGTATGTTACCTTATATGGCAAAAGGGAATTTGCAGATATAATTAATTGAAGGATTTTGAGATGGGGAGATTATCCTGAATTACTGGATTGTACGATGAACACAATATAATCACAAGCGTTCTTATAAGAGGGAGGTAAGAGGGCCACAGATACAGAAGATGATGCAACTATGGAAGGAGAGAGAGAGAGAGATTTGAAGATTCTGTGCTGCTGGATTTAAAGATGGAGGATGGAGCTATGAGCCAAGGAATATAGGTGGCTTCTGGAAGCTAGAAAAGGCAAGGAAACAGATTCTCCCCTAGGGCGTCTAGAAGGAACGTAGCCCTGCTGACCCATTTTAGGACTTCTGACCTCCAGAACTATAAGATTAATTTGTGCCACTAACTGTAATAATTCGTTACAGCAGCAATAGGAAACACATACAGAGTGGTCCCCCAAAGGAAAAACATGGTGTTATTATCAAACAAAGGAAGAATGGATGCTGGGCAGGCAAAACCAATACACGTCCCCTACTCTGATGAGATTTTTATAATCAGGGTTGTCATGGCACATAACTCTGTATGGTACCGTTCAAGTAGTAGACAGTGTGAATGGTGTCCCTGGAGTTGAACAACATGAAGGCCCTGGTCATGAGGAATGTCTTAGTTTCTGAGGGCTGCAGTAACAGAAATACCACAAGTAGATGGCTTTAAAGAACAAAAATTTATTTTCTCACAGCTCTGGAGGATAAAAGTCCAAATCAGGGTCTTGGCTGTGTCAATTCCTTCCTTGTAGGTAGTCCCAGGCATTCCTTGGTTTATAGACAATCCTCACAAGGCATCTGTCTCCACCCCACACCCTGGTGAGTATGTCTGTGCGTCAAATCTGCTCTTTTTATAACTCAGAAGTGATTAGATTTAGAACCCACTCTACTTGGGAATGACCTAATTAACATAATAAAGAAAACCCTATTTCCAAACAGGATTATATCCAGAGGTATAGGGATTAAGACTGCAACACATATTTTTAGGGGTAGGGTGGGCAGGGGCACAATTTAATCCATAACAAGGAGTAAATGAGCTAATACATGTAAAGCATTTTGAACAATGCCTGGTACTTAGTACTCAACAGAAGTTAGTTGTTTTCATTGTTATTGTCCTAGTCGTCCTTGTTCTCATCTTCATCATCGTTGTTGTCATCATTATCATCATCATCATTATCATATGGTGCAAATGGTCTCCGGACTAGTTTCCTCATTTGTACAATGGGAGGGTTAAATCCAGGAGTCAGAGGTTGCTTCCACCCTAACATTTTATAATCTTTCGGTTCTGTGACTCTAAAACTGGCTTTGACTGGTTTGAGAAGTTCCACATCACACTTCTGATATTAAAATCATCCTATTTGCAGTCTGGGTGAAAACAGAAAAACAATCCAACTCAGAAACTACGGTATCTCTTTCCCTTTGCACCAATTTTAATTCCCACGGTTGGCACTGAGATTTATCAATACGTTTGAAGAGGATCTGAAAACCTCACATTTGCATATATCATGTGCAGTCAGTCCTCAAATTTAGCTCCCAATCAAATCCTTAAATGCATGTTTCTAGATTAATAGTCAGACCTGGAGGAACTACATTAACGGTTCAGCTTAAAAACCAATATAAGGAAAAAAATTTATCATAGAAGCCAGAGGGATGAACAGAAAGATGGAAGTCTTACATCTATTCATTTCCCAGTGGTTAATATTGCCTAAAAGTGTTGGTATTAATTGTCTTGGCATCATTACATAGATGCTGGTCCAGTTATTCAAGGGAATAAAATTTGACTTATCGCCTTGCAGGCTGAGCTTGCATCTTCCAGGTATCAGTAGCAAGGACAATTTAATACCACATTTTCAAAGTAATTTTATTTGAATTGTATTTTTGCACTTATGTTTTCAAATGGGCATGCCTGATAGCTGGGAAGTACAAATTGCTAAAAGCCAACTAGTGATACCTCGTTGTGAGCACTTCATAAGAAAAATACAAAAGCTAACTTGAATCTCCATTTTTTTCTTCATACCTTAACTTCTTCAGTGGCTCAGAGTACAAGCTGTGGAGTCAGATGGCCTGGGTTTTAATCTTAGAACCATTATTTACTAGCTGTGTGACACTGGCCTAGCCACTTAACCTCTCCGTGCCTTAGTTTCCTCATCTGTGAAATAAGGGTAATAATGAATACTTACCACATAGGATTGTTGTGAGGATTAAATGAGGTAGTACATGTGAAGTGCTTAAAACAGTTCTGGCACACAGTAAGTATTCAATAAATCTTAGCTGTTACTATTTTTGGAGTCCCTGGGTGGTACAAA